TATATATGACAGCAATTCATCGAAGCCCGGGTGTCTGTTAGAGTGGAGGGATGAGGCAAATGTTTGAGGAATTGGCAATCCTTAAAATATGACGCCGTAAATTTATTTATTTTTTTTTATATGTTAACAATAATGTGTGCCGTTATTAGTCATCAGAAACATGATGAGATAGTCATACAGTTGGTGGAGGGCCGGCAGATCTTGGCCAGAGGACTTTTGTATGAGTCTTGGAGGAGCCTCTTGGTGCCTAGACCGGGACCTGCGGTCAAGTTGTCTCCCAAAGTTTTCCTGTCTGAACCCAAACAGAGGAAACATAAGATAGCGAACCCCCGGTGTATTGTTGTTTGCCTAATGGTTGATAGAGGCAGGTCCAAATTTAGACTCCAATAATCTGCGTTTTACGAAGAAGGTGATGCCTGTGAGTATTGTTAAATCATCTCCACTGTTTAGGGCAGGGGGGTGGGGGGACTTGCCTAACTTGGTGAAGTTGATCACAAAAATTGGTTGCTACAAAAATCTCTGCCTCGAAACTATAATTAATTATTTTCAAATCATGTTTGTGGCATTAGGATCAAATGTTTGGCCACTGTCATGTTTCCATAGGGACATTTATTGCTGACGGACACGGTCACTCAGCAACCAATGTCCAACTTCCTTCCTTCCTACTGAGCCACACTGAATAGTTGAAAAGATGCCCAAGGTTTGGGGGTCTCTTGAAAAGAAAAAAGTTTCATGGAATTACTACAAAGCGGAGTGGGAGGAGTTTCAAGTGAGCAACATGCGGATGTGAACACGTGAAGAGATCTGCTGCTTGAGGTAAATAACTCTGAGCTCAGTTCCACCAGACCATGCTAGTATCTCAAGTTTGTGCTTGCAAGGAGAAAAAAAATAAATCGCCCAGTGACGGCTCAAAAGTTGGGTCACTGAAGGCACCACTGTAGAGAGTATATTGCAGATCTTTGCAAGTGGGTCGCACATCACCCACAATAAATGGGGGCTGACGACAGCTGTCATGTAACTGTCAGATGAAGTGTGAAGACCCCAACCCCACGACCGAAGTGATGCGCACCTGTAATGAAGGTGCGTCTGTCGTAATGCAGGCTTTCTCTGGCCACAGGCTGACTGCCAAAAAGCGGGTCGCAGTGTAGATTGTGGCAGAGCTTCTCCAGGAAGCGGAGGACGTAGGTGACACTGCTGGCGGTGGGCAGCGTCAGCGTGTGCTGCTGCTTCTCGAAGAAGGCTGCAAGCACAAATCCCCCCCGCAAATTCATTCCATCTGTATTTCCAGTGCGGTTCATTTTAACTCATTCAATCCCAGCCATTTTCACTGGAGCAACTCCCTCAATCCCAGCGTTTTACTGGATTTTGACTGATCTTGCAAGGCCCATAGAATATTTGGTTCTAATGCTATATAAACATGGAGCCTACCAAAATAAAGATTGGAAAAATTGTTTCTATCTTTTTCCATTCTTCAGCAATTGGCATGACAAAATGGCTAAGTTTCATGAAAATGGCGATTCCTGGGCAAAAAAAGAGGTTTTTGTCAAAGCATGCATTTCAAGCACGTGAGGCACCACTGCCACCTACTGGTCGCTTTCTTTTTGACATGATTTACAACGCAAACGGCTTATTCTCATTCACAGATTGCATTAGACCCTACTCCTCCCTATGACACACAAAAAAAAAAAAAGACTTAGAAGTACAAGTATGTCCTTGGTAGGCGGGGCCTAATTTTAAAAAAAAGTACAAGTACGTCTTGTGGAATGAAAGAGTTAATGGGCAAAATAACCTCACCTGAAATGACTTCACCGCCCTGGCCGGGCTTAAGGCAGGAGAAGACGCTGGCCTGGTTGTGGGCGGAGTCAATGCAGGCTTGGACGCACTGCTGAAGCACAGACGACGCCTGGGCGGGCCCAAAGTGGTCCGGCAGCTGCTGGATGCGCTGCTGGTTCAGATGGGGACCGACCTTGCCATACTTGTTTAGGTAGACACATACTAAGGGGACAAAAAGACAATGAAACCCCGTTTATCACCGGCGTGGATACGTTTTAGAGCCACCCGCAGTAGGTGAAATTCTGGGATGCCTATGTGTTGAGAATACTCTGCATAATGTAGTGTGTGGATACGTGCATGTGCCTTTAAGAGGCGGGGCCTGGTGGGGTGAATTGTGATGTGCATGAGCCCTCCCCGGATGTGAGTTGTGGCCGACAGCAGCTCCTGTGCGAATGTGCTTCATTGTGGTTATGCATTTGACTGTTCTCCAGGAAATCAATAAATGGCGTCGGCGATTGTGGCACGCCTTTCTCGCATGCGGGGGCATCCAAGTAAATGTATGTTGAGTGTAAGCGCACATATTTGCGATTCGCTACTTGCATCTTCACCTCGTCGTGGATTTGTTTGGGTTCTTTGTTGAAAAGTAATATTTACTGTTTTTGTGGTCAGACGAAAACCCTGTCTGCATGAAAATGACTTGTTGCTTTGGTGCCGTCTTGGAACTAAGGCACTAAGTTGAAGTGAGTTTGGGAGCGTCATGTCGTTTGTTGTAAGATTTATTCATTCATTTTTTTTCACCGGAGCGTCACTTACTTGCCCATTTTCGGTTTTACTGACCGGTCTCTGTCCCATTCGCGGGTACTGTGAAAGCCCATAAAAACGCAATATAACAGCGGGTGCAAACTATTTTTGGTACCTGTAGGTGCTTGTAGTGCAAATTTGGGGATGGTGGCATTGTCGAGCGGCACAGTGCTGGTGTCGGGCTCTGGGGTGCTGCTGGTGGGAGACGTGGGGACCGGGTGAGGCACCAGGCGAGGTTTTCTCTGGACACAGAAGCATCACGGCATCAGGATAACGTGAGCTTTTTATTTGGGCAGTCAGCTGTCATTGTTTCACTTGAAATTGTCTAAATCTCCTGATTTCAGCTTTTTCAACGGTATTTATCTGATTACCAGAGTCCTTTGTAAAAGCAAACTGATTATCTTTTGGGTTTTATTTAAAAATAATAATAATAATTTGCAAACATCTGCTTTTACCTTGGCAAACAATGAGCCAACCAAGTAACTAAATCAATCCCTCTCATGTGATATTGCTTCACTGGCGTTTAGTTGTTGTTTTGTGTACCACTAAACAATTCCGCATAAATAATTGGAGCGTAAACAGAAATAGGGGAGAAAATATTTTGTATTACACTTTAGCGCGAAAATAAAATTGTATCTAATTAATGGAAGGAATAATCAATTCTAACAATAAACGCTAAAACTTTTTTTTTGGGGGGGGGGGCTGATCTCTGAAGCTTTTTTTTTTTTTTTTTTGCATAGTTTTGCGAGATAACTGTAAAGTAAAAATGGTTGGCAGTTGTTTGGGCGTCGCATGAGAAACAGCAGCTACAAAGTAAAGCTACAGGCCAAGAAATCAATCAAATATTGGCAATGCTGGCCGGTTGGCAGCTTCAACACTGCTCTCTGGCGGCTCCACTATTATGATTCGTGTTTGATGGCCACTTTTATGATTTGTTTGCCAGCTTGCTAAGTGGAAGCGTCGCACAGAAAACAATCTGCTGCACTTGTCAAAAGCGATTAGGTGTGCAACCGCTACCTTGCTGCCAGGCTTTGGCCCTCTTTTCTTTGGAATCTTGATGGGTGCGTCCTGCGTCTGCGGCAGGGCTAACCTCTGCACCCAGTTGACCGGTACTCTGCCGCGGGGTCGTCCCGGAGCCGTCGTAGGCCGCCCGGGCCCGGCCGTGGCGTCTGGCAAGAAGCTGGCTCTCTTCACCCAGCCCAACTGCAAAGACGAGGCAAAGCAGCTTGATGATAGAAATAATGGTGGCGGTACAGTACTGCCAAAAACTCGGTAGACTTGGTGGGGACTTAGCAGCTCATACAATATGATAGCACACAACAATACAATGTATGTTATTATTTATCTCAAAATATGACAAAACCAAAAAAAAAAAAAAAAAAGACACATTACACTCACCAAAGATGCTGATTATTGAATGTATGAATGCATGGGTTGAGATTGCTAGAGAGTTATTTTGCGAGCGGAAGTTAGCTACAAGAAGTTTTGCTTCGACCAACATCATCAAGGGCCAGCGCTGTGGCACGTGAGGATGAATTTGAAATTAGAAAAGTTAGAGCGTCTGCAACCTACCTTACGTCCCGGTTTGGGTCCTCGTTTCTTGGGGATCTTAACGGGCTCCAGGCTTTTCTCCGTCTGGATGCTTGGCGGTCCCAAGGCTGAGGCCTTTTGACTCCAAGAGCCCTTGACTTTTCGCCGTCCGGGTTTGCGGCCCCTCTGACCGCCGCCTTTGCTTACCGCGGGGGTCGTGTGCACGGCCGAGGTCTCGACGGCCCCGTCCGTTAACGGTCCGCTGGTCTTTGGCATCACAGCTGCAATAGTCGAGAGGGGCGGAAAAAAAAAAAGAAAACAGGGCGTGAGTTACCAGGAATGTTTTGGGAAACCAACATAGTAAAATGAATACCGAGTCATATGATCATGAGGGAGGGAAAGAGCTCGTGGTTACATGAGGCTGTTTACTGAGAAATGCTGTCCTACAAACACTTCATGATACTGGCGTATAGTCAACACTGTTGTATTATTTGCATTCAAGGTAGTTCATTCATTCAATCCAACTATCCCAATGCCAAACGATATATATCTTTGTTTCCCTTTTTGGGCATTTTTTTTTTTATTTTATAAAGGCACCAGTGATGGCAAAGAGGGAAAGTGTGATGATAGCCAGAGCAAAAAAACAAAAAACTTGCTCCAACATCAGAAAACGGTACACGCGTGCGTCTCTGTCCAGGCTGCTCGGTCGAATTTGGATCATTTTTAAGACCCACAGAATATCTATCGTGTTCTGTCAAAATATAGGCAATGTCTTTTCTCTTGACTGTGAAACACAGTTTTTCTGCTACCAACTCGCGACACATGCTCTGCTTATACCAAACATATGCATAGCCGGTTCAAGTGTAGGGTACCTAAACGTGTCCTCTGCCTCATAATAGGCATAAGTCGAACGACCCCGACGAATCTTTTTCTTCTACTCAAAAGCTGTGCTGATCTCAAATCCAAAAGGATGCAACAGCGCCATCAAGAACGATATGTTGGCCATGAGTGGTTTACAAACCTGACTAACACAGACAAGCTCGGCGAGAGCATCTTCCAATGCCTAGCTGTTCAAAACAGTCCGATTCTAGTTCACAGATATAAACATCCGCTGTTGTGAATGAGTTGAAAAGGGACTTATGATGGTGAAAGTTTGACCCAGGAAATGATGACTTCAATTTCCATTGTTTCCTATTGGGATTTCTTCCACAGAATTTTCTTGTTGCCTAATTAGCGCCGAAAAGCGCACCATGAGCATTGTCTAAATCAAATGAAACAAGGCGGCAAATCTAGACAAGATTTGAACCCAGCCTGCCTTCCAAATGTCCGGGGTCTGCGACATAGCAACCGGCGGTGTGAATGCAAGCCTTTGAGGCGCCACTCAGTGTGAGAAAGGCAGCTGCTGACAGATGGGAGGTCACACTGACAGTCAATCAAACACCTTCGGCAGACAGGTGCCACGGGAAAATTACCTCTAAGAAGCGCAGGTGGGAAAGGAAACATTGTGTACAATATAATACACCCTGCGGGGATCTCAGATGAAATATAGTCCCATCAATGCAGCGTTGCAAGTTGCAACAAGTTGTCATTCGGTGGAAAACAAAACAAAAACAAAAAAACCCTTACAGATAGGTTTAATTCTTTGCCAACACATTTAAGGACCTTTAGGTGGCACGTTCATTGAGCAGTGGCAGCCGTTGCCCACACCGAAGTGTTGAGCAAGCAAATTCTTGTTTTCACACAGTCACACACGTGAGCGGCAACCTCATGGGGGAAACTTTCATTCTCTCACTTGAAGTGCATTTATGCTATTCCGCTCTTCTTACCTTCGCTGCCCTGTTCAAATTAAAGTCACACGTGTCATCTCGCGTGCTTCCTTCCCTGCAGATTAATTTTTGTCTCGCACCCTCAGTGACACTCGTCCTGTGTTGCTCCTCCCTGCTCTTCTCTCCTCCTGCTATCTGCTCACCGGTCTACAGTTTATTGGCATACATTCAAATAGAAGTTTCTCAGGAGTGCCCACCCACCCATCAAGGCCAAAATGTGCGATGCGCACCTTTTGTTCCGGGCGGCTGCAGATTGTCCCCGGTGCGTGCGCACCAGCCAACCGGGAAGATGTCGCGCGAGTCGTAGCGGCAGTAGTAGTCGAAGGCCCCCCGCCAGCCGTCAAAAGTGACCTGCACCTCCACTCCGCGCAGAGCGCCCACAGTGGCCGGGCAGATGAAGTGAGGGTTTTTGCGGTCCACCGCCTCCAGTTTCATGCCCACTTGGAAGGAGTTCTGCTCTGGCGCGGGGGGCTCCTGCTGCGGATGATGCGGCGGGAAGAAAAAGGTCACGGTACGGAAGGACGTGACACGGCTTAATATATCGCGCGGGCCTTGAAACTCAGAAACCTTACGGCCGATGAGAGATGAATTTCAAACTGTGTTAACGTCGGGGAACTATTTATTTACATTTTCTCTTAACTTTATCAGAGATGCTGCTGACCTTGGGAACTGTCTCCACCCTTGGAATTAAAACTAAGATCAGTGAAAATTTAACATGACATGTATTTTGAAATTTTGCATGTTATTTACTGTGGAGAATAGTATGGAGGTATTGTTTAAGTTTTCATTTAACTTTTTCAGACATGCTGATGACCATGGGAGCTCCCTGAACTTGTTAGAATTTAAAAATATCAATGTTTACGGTCAAAAAAAAAAAAAAAAAAAAAATCTAAATTTTTAATCTAAACAGACACGTCAACCATGTTAAATGTTGGAGTTTGTATGTTTTTTTTTTTTTTTAACATTTTGATGACAATAAGTTCCCTTTTAGTGAAAGTAAATATTGGCTCCAAATTGGGCATTGGCCCTGAAAAAAAAAAACGTATCGGTCTATCTCTAGCCCATGCCAATGTTTTGTCTTTTTATTACAATTTATTAAAAGTGATTTGTTTATTTTCTAGGTAGCGGAATGAAGCCCCACTTCTAAAGTAAAGTAACAGTAAGGGAAAAAGAAAACAACCCCCCCCCAACGTATCTTTGTTGAATTGTCACGCCTTTCACGGAGCTCATGCAATTATATCAAATACAGATGCAGCGTGCCAAACCAAATTGCATGATGAACTGAGACACTGTCTACTCGTATGAAGCCGACTATTTGAGGACCTGCGTGCGAGTGATGTAGAGTTACCTTGTGAAAGATGCGCGGAGGCGCCATCTCAGCACCATTTAGTGTCTTCAGAAGAAACAAGGGCCAGGAGGATGCGTTTAGACGGAAACCTGACCCGTGAATTTTCAGAATTTGAGCTATTCCGCCTATGGCCAAACCACAATCAATCATAGCCAATGTCAGCGCGCGGTCTTTTACCAAGCGGGGGCTGCAACATCCCGCCGCTCTTCTCACAGTTGCCAATGGGTTGGATCTCGGACGAGTCCACCAGGCGCCAGAAGTCGTTCTTGTTGTCGGAGCCGTCGAGGCGCAGGCGGAGCCGCGACCCCGTCAGGCCCACCACCGTGGCGATGCAGGTGGACGTGGTGTTGCGCGGGTCCTGAGCCTCCAGTTTCATGCCGGCTTTGAACTCATTAACGGGCGGCGTAAGGCTCTAGAGGGGTCGTTGATTGAGACATGTGAGTGGCAGATTGCTGTTCTTTACGCCGACAAGATTATCGCTTACCTGACGGAAGCATGACGCAGGTGCTGCACTGGCGCCTGTCTCTTTGAGGTACTTCTCCCAACTGAAATGGCCTGTGTGGAAAGAAATACAATTCATACATTTGTGCAGGACTTGCTTTGAGAATGGGGCCTCTGAAGGTAAATGCTCTGAAGTCGTTCGCGGGATTTGGTGACATCTTTCCCAAAGAACGGCCTCAACGGTGGTGTATAAGGAGACATCATGTGGACTCGTCCAGTGACGTTGCTTGCAAAGCAACAGGGCAGGAGAAATGATCGTCAGGTATTCAATTTGCATCCTGTTGCCGGCATTGTGGACCCCACCTCTGTTATAGCTGATCATACTTCAGAAAGCAAATAACTCCAAAGGTCAACTCTGCCCCCACATTATGACGGTGACTTTTATGGAGACCCATACTGATCTTTGGCAAATTAATAAGAATTACCTTGGAACAGGGAAGGCAACCGGGAGGGCCGTCCACTCCGAGCGTGCTTGATCTTTCTTGCATCTTTCCACTCTATAGCTAAAAAGGTTTTGACAGTAAAATAAATTCATCTACCGGAGAAGTTCCTCTCAGTCAATATTTGATGTGAGCATTGCACTTTGGAAAAAAAAAAGACACCACTGAAAATGCCATAACTGATTGCAAATGTAACAGCGACAAGCTATTCAATAAATCTTTTGAATGACACAATAATAACATGTTACCTTTCTGCGGCGCAGGCTTCCTCATGCTCCACTGCTACGGAACAATCTCAGGATATAAAAGTGGCTGACCACCCTAAGAGATTTAAAACAACAACAACAAAAAAAAAACAAAACGTTTTTACACTTTCCTCGCAATTTGAAAACTTTTTTGGGGGTGTGGGAAACATTCAGAACACAAGAACTTTTGAGCATATCTAGCCTTTTGAACGAGAGGGGCATATGAAAATGGTATATCACTTGTGGACGACCACTCAAGTAAAAAGGCCAACCACAAGATTCAGGAATTCATTTCAAAACATGTTTATAATTGGGGTCGTACTGCTGCATTCATGGAGGTGTTTCTCATCATTCTACTCCTATAGAATTTTCCTTGGTAAAGTCCCAGGTAGAGGTGCAACAATTAATCAATAACGTGACAACTAAGTGATGGTCAAAATTGTTGTAATTACATAATCCATTAATTGTTTAACTTACAATTGTCCAAATCCTTGGACTTTCTGCTTCTCTACAGTAAATATTCCGATTTCTGGAGTCCTCTATGAAAGCGGAGAGATCATCTTCGTGTTTAACATTTTTGTTGCTAGCATCAGCTTGTACGTTGAAAAACTACAAGCAACATTCTTTTTTCACTATTTTCTGACATGTTACGGACGAAACCAGAAACTTACTATCACAATTTAGGGGAAAACACACCTGTCGGTTTAATCGATGACGCAAATCATCTTTTTTGCAACCGTAGTAGTAATAACACGTACTTGACGTGTAGTGGAACCTGAAACAGCCTGAAAAATGCATCTCAAACTCATGACAGTGCATGAAGGTGTACCTAACGTAGCGTCCGATGAGTGGACGCAATATTTGATGGATGAGTGAAGAATAGCTACAACAATGAATTCGACGCGTATCACCCCCGATAATATGGCACCGACTTACCTTAGAAGTTCATGACCGCGAAGCGATGTTCTCTTCCCACCAGACCGGCTTGTTTTCCACACAAGTGCGCCTTTTTCTTTCGGCGATCAAGTCCGAGCGAGCCGCCACCTTCCAAGACGACGAATGACAAAACAGCAACATTAACGGGGTTTGCAACTTCACTTTCAACGAAAGCCCCCTCGGCGGCCTGAAGCCACGAATCTGCCAGAAAAATAAAGCACACTGTTCGGTTGGCTTGGGTCGCCCACGTTAGTGACACGCAGACGGCAGACGCGCGGCGCCTCATTCAAAGTACAAAAGCCTCCTCCTCCCTCCTTCCTAGCTTTCCCCCCCGACACACAAGCCGAGGAGTCCTGCCAGCTCGGCTTGACAGGCGGCGTTGCTAGTCAGGAGCTCGGCTAACCAACGCTACCGCTAGGGTGTAAGTCCAAAAAAAAAAAAAAAAAAAAAAGCCAGTACGTGAAACATGACAGTACTTGACTTGTTATGACAAACACATACGTGCCAATGCAGGCAGGCAATCGAGGCTCGGAGGCTAACTAGCTTAGCATGCTAAACGCTAGCTCGTTGTTGACCTTATTAAAAAAAATCTATATACATGATGGCAATGCGTACGACAAGAAGTGTACCAGGCACACTTTCTGAGGCGGTCGCGTTTGCTTTTGCGGGCTCCGCGACGACGCCGTGTCCTGAAAGAAGACGCAGCTGTCAAGTCTTGTTTGGAGACGTGGGCTGGCTTTGTAGCGTGTTGTTGTTGCCAAGGAGTTACCGCCACGCCGCCATTTTTGCGACTGGATGTCGATTGGGGTTGAGTAAACTGGGGGTGCTGGGGGGCTGTGGGGGGGCTTTTCCACACTGTACGATGAGACCCTGCAAGACGGTCAGAAGAGGAAATAGCGCAACCCAGTGGCCAAAATGTGGTACAGTATTATAAGAACAGCGTCACAAGAAACACGCTTCATGTCGTGGGATAGATACACAACTGTACAGTAGAGATGAAAAAAAAGTTACAATTTGTTTATATATATTTATATATATATTCAGGTTAGGAAATGTGAGGTACTGTGTGGACCTCAATAACAACAAACTCATATCTGGGCCTGCTTAATTGAATAAAAAGCTGTTATACTCGCAGGAAACCATGATTTATTTTGGTTTATGAAAGGCAACAGGTGGATACACAGGTTTATTGTGCCTTCTGACATATAATCAAAGAAAATGTCATTTTTCTGCCTGTCGCAGGCATTGATAAATGAACAAATTATTTGAAATTGCACGATTTCCCACATTTACAGTACCCTACGTTGGTTGTTAGGAGGATTGTTGAATGTAAAAGATTGATGGATCACTGCCACAGTATTTGCAATTTGTATTAAAAGATTTATATACCAACATTGTAGCCCAATACGTTTCAACGCTTACGCACACGAAAGACTTCTATCTTAATAAAAGGCGACTATCATACACCGTATAAATATCTGTTCTCATAAATGATTGCAAGAAAGTCATGATTGTTTTAAATGTTACTGCAGTACAGCGCAATGGTGCAATTTAACCACATTAAGATTTGTTGTAGTTCTAAAAAAATAAAAAATAAAATAAACATTGCCTGGAGCAAAATCTGGCATTATTTATAGCTATTTGTTCCAGTAAAAAAATATTCGAACATAGTGAACCCACAAATAGGGAATTTTAATATTGCATACATATTTCTGAATATCGTAGGCCTGGAATGAAGTCTTATAAAACAGTGTTTCTCTTAAATTTTTCAGGACACTTACCCAATAATGAAATAAAATGCAGACCTCTATTCTCTAAATCTGTCGCAACAGTAGCACTGCAGAGCCATCCAACAATATACAGTGAACTGCTTATACAACCAGGCATAGGTGTTTCTAGGTTGTTGTTGCGGATGTGCTGAAGCACTCCTAAAATGAATCCCAAGATCCATAAAAATTGAGTAGTAAATAATAATCATTTTTATATAGTCTTGAAACGCGTAAAATTGGACAGTAATTGTTTGAAACCAAATCTTTCAACAAAAAATATGCTACCTGAGTGCTCGTGTTATACCCACACAGAGCGATAAACTGTCTTCCAATGATATGGCGCAAGTACCCGACTGAAACATGGACATATGACACATTTCCTCAAGCACTCAATACCAACACGCTATAAACGTTACCAGTCCTCATTTTTGCTTCATTTAATCGTAGGTAGGAAAAGTTTTCCTACGGCTAAGAAATGATTCATTCCAATGGTCGTTCGGACAGTACCACGGTACTCTTTTTGAAGTGGAGTGAAAGAAGCTAGATGTTGTGTCAAGTCCATGTGTTAACAATAAAACCAAGATGCTCGTGACAAGCTAACTGACTGGATGCCAATGAACATTCTAACTCCAACTCAGACAGGAAGAGGGAGGATTTTTAGATATTAGTGTTCAAAGTACTGGCACAAAGTTATTGGATTACATTTCATTTCCTATAAAAGTACAAAATTAAGTCCGGTGTCCGTTTTTTGATATTTTTAATACAGAATACAGTAGTTGGACTGGTTTACCATTACTCCTACAACTACAAAAAAAAATGTGGATGTAGAGGTGCTACTGTATCAGAATGAGTTGTCTCCTTTCAGAAATTAGTCGTGTTACAGTCTGCTTGTTTTATAAATGTAATCCAGTCCTCTTTTGCTTTACATAACCTTTTTCAGATTTCACAATTGTGTCACAGACTTTACCAAGAGGTGAAGGCGCTTCTTGGGAATGTACAAAAATGACAGACCGTGGTAACTTCTGACCCAACGAAGTTGAATTGCCCTGGTGAGGCTGCAGTCGAAAACTGCCTTTATTCAGATGTAAGTGTGCGAAACTTGAAACGAGCTGCCATGTCAATTAAGGACCGAGTGGAAAACGTTGCTATGTAATTTGGAGAGAACCAACACCCCCAGCACTCTGCTTGTGTGTGTCATGGTCAGGGCTGCTAATGCCCGCTTCATCCTGTGTTGGGCAGGCCGTGGCCCCGTGCACCCCCCATTCCACCTCCCAATCCTCCTTGCAGGCCAGTCAATTATGTTCGGTTTCACACGGTGAAAAGGGTTAATTGGCAGTGCCCACGCGCCTGATTGGACCTGTTTCACGCCTGTCGGCCTTCATCGCTTCAAAGGAAGCCACCCCCACCCCTCCCCCGCCGCCCCAAGTCCACCGGGAGACCGTTATCAGAGCACTCACGCAGTCACACTCCTAGTGGACATGCACGCAGTGTTCTTCAAAAAACGGCCTTCTGGGAGCTCGAATTTGTGCACACGAGCGACACTGCACTCGAGCGAGTGTGCTCATGCTGAGACGTGAGCATGTTTACGTTCTACTGTTGAACACAAGGGGTCAGTGTTGCTTCAATCAAGGCCCATGATCACTCCTGTCTCATTATCATCATCATCATCATCATCGTCGCCATCATTTTGCTCTCCTCTGAGGACCCGCATGATCCATCACGGCACATTGTTCTGTCATTTCAAATCACTCGTTAAATCCTAATAATGATCGTCTTCTTTCATTATGTAATATTCATGCCGTCCTTTTCTCTCTCTTCTTTTTTTTTTGAAGTCGATTTTGTCTTTAAGAGTGGCTCATTGTCAAGTTTCCCTCCAGTGTTATTGTCTCCTTGTCTCTCAGTAAGTCCATGTGATCTTAGTTCTTTATTAATAAGGCATAAGCCACAGAGCTGCAGGCAACCAACTCCATTATGGCCACCATACAAGTTCGTTAGAGCCAATTAACTGCACGGACAATGGGCTTTGCTCAGTGGCTATTTCTTTCATGAAGCACGGTGCTTTCAATATATTATGGTGCTATAAGTCTTGCAAAGGTGCTTTTGAAAGCTTGTGGCATGAACAAGCCTCTCAATAGTGTCTGCTTTCCTGAGAATTTAGTAGGGTTTCATAATCATCTCTCCTCAATAGTGCTGGCCCTAATTGATCGTCAGTCGCATTTTCACAAATGATCTTTCGCTTAAATTCTCACCTACAGTCAGTTCCATAAATATCAGGACATGGATATGATTCTCATCTTTTTTGGCTTGAAACCTACTGTGTTATAACTGCGGACTTTCAGCTTTGATTTGAGGGTATTTTTCTTCAACTCAGGTGAGCGTTTATATAGGTGCCTCCCACTTTTTAAGGGACCAAATGTAATGGGACAAATGAACAATCCTGAGTAAGACTTTCACTTTTAATGACATATGTATGGTTTTTACAGAATTTTTACAGCTTGGTGAATGTCACATTTTACCAAAGAAATATTTGTTGGAAAAGCCAGCATGCAGTTTGCGAAAGAGTCTTTGTATGCTTCACTGTTTAAGCCACAGGTGCATATTTTTTGATTTAATGATGTAATTACTGTATATTTTTATCAAATATAATATTGCTCATTGCTATTTTTCTCATTCAGAAACACATTAGATTTTTTAATTTATTTTTGTCATGAGTCAGGAATGGACTAAGGGCATTTCCATTGATTTCAATGGCGAAAATGATTTGGTATTCAAGTGAGAAACAAGTACTCAAGGAACAGAGTCATATCTCAAGGCACCGCTATATTTACAACATTATTACGACTTGGCCATGTCGACATCTAGCTGAATTTCACCTAAACCTACAAACGTAATTTTTGTTGTGAAAGATCATGCGATGGCAGGGAATTTTTGACTGGCCGTCACATCTGCGATGTAGCGACACTTCAAAATTGGAATTGCCTCTTGCCTCTCCTCCTACAGTTGTCGCTCGTTATATCACAATTAAGTTTTTGCTGCTTCACTGTATCATGATTTTTATTTTTGTACTATATCGCAAATTGTTGGGGGGAGTGATTTAACGGCAGAGAATTTCTTAAATTTGGGCTCATTTCTCAAGTAACGTGATCCCCGCGATATACGGGGGATTACTGTAATTTAGACATTAAAAAAAATAATGTCTACATTCCATGTCAGTGGTAATTCAGAACGAGGCGGGAACGTGCCGTCTTCTACAGACATTGTTCAAGGGGCTATACTGCTACATGTGTGTTTGTGCGTCCTTCTGTTTTTACCTCACACTCGGCGGGTGCATTTCTGGCGACCCAAAGGAGTGCAGTGTCGAGTGTGAAGACGCTTGGATGTACAATCCCATTGGATTTTTTAAATTTATTTATTTTTTTGGTGGAGCTAAAATATGTTTTTGCTCTCACTCGTTCACAGCCGCATGTTTCCATGTGATTTCCTTCACGTGCCTTCGTCGCCGGCTTGCATCGCTTCGTCAGCGGGACTCTGCCGCCTGGAACTCTCCGTTCAGGAGTCAAAGGTATCGAACGCCACAAGTCAAACTGAAAGCAAAGCTGCAGTTATGGATGGAGATGTCACAGGCAAAAGCTTTGGACACTTATGATGGATTTTGAGAACACACAAATGTTTCTCTTTGCAACAGAACGTTTATTTTCAAACTGCATTGGGTTTGCACATCCGGCTGTGTTTTACTTTTCTCTTAGTGAACTTAGATACAAAGAAACATTTTGATGCAGCCCAACGGCATCAATAAAAATGTAAACAAGAGCACGGAGGGAGCGCAAAACTCTGCTGAAGCTTGAACTTTTTGAAAGGCAAGATCAATGACGGATCGACCACAACCTTGAGACGTTCAAACTGTTGTGATGGAGGCATTTTTACTCCAGTCCTGTAGGGGGCGGCAAAGCGTGGATTTCATATTTTCCCTTGCATGTGTGGATTCTTGGCATGACGTCATCTTTGTTGACAAATTGTGATGTTTGTCGCCTTTTGAAATTATATCCGCTTATGAAAGAGGCAAAAAAAATAATCTGATCACATCTCACATATCGGGAAAAAAAAAATCGGAATTGATCTGCAGTGTGAATAGAGCCTTATGATGTGGCGCATATCGGCATGTGAGTTTGAGACCAGTGTTTTTGAAACGTGTCAAGGAATGAGTTGTGTCTCGATCAATCTTACCTTGCCTCTTGGCCAGGGATGTGTCCAAGGACCGGCAACCCGAGGCCAAGGCCAAGGCCAAGGACTTGACTCCCAAGGCCGAGGCCAAGGCCAAGGAATTGACTTCCAAGGCCAAGGCCAAGGACCAAGGACTTGCTTCCGAGGCCAAGGCCAAGGACCAAGGACTGATTTTGAAACTGAGGCCTAGCCAAGGACATGTATAAAACAATGCTATCATACCACTTGGCAGGTCCTCGTGATTATCAATCCCCCTCCATCATAACCCTTAGCACTCCCTAAAACGCTTGAAAAGTGATTTTATTCAAAGAGTAGAACAGTCAGGGTACATGTTATTTATACTGAGAAAAAAAAATAAAATCATATGATATACATTTATGAATTAATGTTTTAGTGCAGTAGTTTCTTAATATGAAGTAAATCAACACTCAACAGGCATGACATGGCACGGAACACAAGTTGAGAAATGACTTTGCATAGAAGTCAATCACTGACTGCAGAAAAAGCGGTAATCTCACAGTGATCATTTTACAGTTCACCTGCAGCGAGTCCCAGGGACTCACTGATCAGAAAAGTATGAGTCCCATTATGCATTGAGAGAGTCCCAAATTTCGAATTCCGAAATGGTCTACTTATTCAATTGCATATGATAACACAAACAACATATACATACAATTATAAACAAATGCTGCAAAAATTTAAATAATTCAGGAGCAGGCCTGAGGATTTCAGAAATTCATGGTAACCGTTTTTCGGTTCAGTCGGATTACCCAATGGGAAACCACAATAACTGATGTTGGGTTCCGTAAACGTTCATCATGGGAACCCATTTTTCTATTTTGACTGATATTGAT